TGTGCCTGAAATTTTATCAAGGCACATCAGACAAAACAATCCAAATGGGATCTTTCATACATGGATAATGTTTTACTCTCACCCGTGTTAAAAGTGTATCCTTGTTTAAAGTTTTAACTACTAGACAAATTTTAAAAATGTATCTTACCCATTCAATGTTCATCTACGAAAGTACTTGGATCATTTGTAAATTTTGATACATGAAATATGAAAACATTTTGCTTCAGTCTGAGGTCTTGTTTTCAGCCAGGACTGGTACCAGTATTGTGTGTGTGTATATATATATGTGCACAATGTTTTTATTAAATAATAATCAAAATTTTCTGTAATAAGATTCAATGGGCAAATGTAAAGGTGTAAGTATAATATTAAAGTATATATTGTGAAAGAAATTTCATATAATAACTTCAGAAACTTGTCATTTCTGTTTTGAATAGTCATTATTTTTACAGATTTCTGATTAGGGACATAACCAGTGTAAGTATAAGATCAGTGGAGGTTTAATTTTTGTAACTTTTTCACCATTGCAGGTGATATTCATTATATCAGATTGAACAATGTAGTTTTCACCTTGTAAAATATTCATTAATATTATTACCTTTTGAATGTTGTCATATGCATCAACATTAACCATGTTGTCTAAATAAAGTTTGTTTTCACAATGTATTGTCTTGGCTCTCACCTCTGAGTTTATTCCAGAATTAGCTTTAACTATAGTTTTATGTAAATAAAAGGTAGATTTGTTTTGTCAGAAGATTTCAAAATGTTACAGGTGTATGTATATATATATAATCTTGGTTTTATCTATAAAATATAATTTCCAAGCAGTAAATCTTTTTTCTGTTGTTGTTGGTGTTCAAGTTGATGTTTTTATAATGAATTACATGTTTTTAAATATAATGTGTATTCAACTATCATGTACTATTATAATATTAGGTCGTCAAGAAATTAATGTTGCGTTTTGGAACACTTTCATTAACCACCCCCCCAAAAAATGTCACGTTATTGTAGCCTATATAATGTGTAAAGTTTAGTATACTCCGATCCCTAATAGTGATGCTACACGATGAGACGCGCATTCGGCATGTAATTCAGTTTGAATACAAGAAGGGAACCAACGCCTCTGTAGCTACAAATAATATGAAAGAAGTTTATGGAAATGTTTTGAACATTCCTAAGTGTCAACGATGGTTCAGCAAATTTCGTTCAGGTGATTTTAGCCTCAAAAACTGTGATGGCAGTGGCTGACGTGTTGGAATTGATAATGGTGCTCTGAAGACGCTTGTTGAGTCTAACCCAAGGCAACACACTTGTGAAATGGCCCTAAAATTGCATGTTTCTCATGAAGCAATGCGTAAACATTTAAGGAATATGGGGAAACTCCATAAAGCAGGTGTTTGGGTGCCTCACGAACTCTCCGATGTGAACGTTGCTTCGTCTCTTCTGGCACGTAATGCGCGTGAACCATTTTTGGGCAGAATTGTCACCGGTGATGAAAAAATTGATTCTCTATGCG